GCTAAGGTCGTGACAGCTCGCTGCTCCCGCTCCCGCTCCCGCTGCTCGCTTCTACCATTGCCGCTGCCACTATCGCTGCTCGCTACTCCTGTTGCCACTGTCGTTGCTCGCCACTCCCGCTTCTTGCTGCTACCGCTGTCGTTGCCACTGTCGTCGTTCGTCGCTCCCACTCCCGCTCCCGTTGCTGTTGCTCGCTGCCGCTGCCATAGTCGTCGCTCATCGCTCCCGCTACTGGCCGCTACCGTTGCCACTGTTGTTGCTTGCCGCTCTCGCTGCTGCTGCTTGCTGCTCTCAGTCAGTAGCCTCGATCTTCCTCTTACACTCTTCTCACTTCGTATACTGTTAACAGTATATTAACAGTATACTACTAACTGTATACTAGTAACAGTATTTTTATTTATTAGATTAATAATATATTATTTTAATTTTAATACTATTAATTTTTATTTATTTGAAATTATTGTTATTGTTTTGAATTTTGAGATTTTTTGTTAATGTGATATTGTAATTTTACAAGATTTTCTTAGTTTAATATCATATTTTTATTTAAATAATCATATTTATTAATTATATTATATATTTTTATATTTTAGCGTCTCGCTTCGCTCGGGCGAGCACCTAACGCCTTGGGCGTTTTTGGACCTTGTCGCCTAGCGTTTTTTAAATCACTGCTATGACCATCACATGCTTTCCATATTATTTTATCGGCTTGTTTTTCTTTCTACCTTGACCTATTTCTTCTTGGCTTCTTGGTTCTGGTTTTAATTTCATTACTATTATATTCTGTTTATAACCTACAACTACCTAGACATATATTAATTGTTAATCTACTGTTGTTCTTGGTTTCTTAATTTTCCTTCTCTCATAGCCTATTGTATCATTATCTTATAGTTATTATTAATATCAAAATGGTATTTATATAACCTTGTCCTATAAAGTATATACATTTCATAATGTTTTAAATATAATTTGGATTAAGTCAATTTGAATACTTGGATTTAAGACAATCTGACACTAGCTTTTGTATCAAGTTGGACCGCTATCGTATATACTGACCCATATCACCTATTATTACTAGAGCAACAACAAAGTCGTAAAGTCTCAACTATTTGGGGTCGGCTATATATATTCTTATCGTCGTTGAGATACGTAAAAAAGTCATATCCTTATTTAAGAGTATTTAAATTCTAGGCCTTTTTATATCTCCCTTTTACCTCTTCTCATATCATTAATAGGAATAATTTTCTCTTTATCTGCATATCTCCTTATCTCATGTCCCTGTCATCTTAAACTATTCTCCATTTTATCCTCTATTGTGGCTAATTTAATTGTTTATGAATGAAAATAATTTTTTTTCTTATCTTTCCTAATAACTTCACACACTCACCTCAATATTCTCATTTTAAAAATATATTTTTTTATACATTGGTTCTTAATTATCCAACATCATATCAATATAGTGCTGCTTTTAGCACTATTATAAAACTTTTCTTTTAATCTCAGAGATATTCAATGATCTTTTAAGCTCAAAGATACTCAATGATCACACAAAATGACCCTCACCATTTTAATAGTTCCGTTTTTACATACCTTTATCAATATTTAATCTTGTTGAATAATTGAACTAAGATACCTAAAATTTTTATTAAATGGATCTTCTTTGCATATCCATTAAGTACTAAACTATATCCTTAGGCTAAAATTGAATATCATATATTTAGTTTTAATTTTACTTAAACATTTAGTTTCTAAGAATTGCCAGCATACCTCAAGTATAGAATGAACTCCATTTAAACTTTCATTGACTAATATAATATCATCAACATATAACATATACTAGGCAGGTGTATTCATAAATGACTAATAAGTTCGTCCACTACTAATTTGAAAATATAAAAACTTAATGTAGATCGTTGATGTCGTCTTATACTTTGTAAGTGTGTATAGTTCTAACACTAGTGACTACGCCAACATACATATCCTTTATGACACTACTAGAATTAGTAAACACATCTCTCTTTTCTAACACCCACATAACAAATCTCTGGCAACTCTGTCATGGGACATCTCTAATTAATAAAACCCATATGCAAATTTTTTTTATGTCTATATTTCTTCATTAATTGTCTGAATAAGTACACAACTATTGTGGATCTTCTTGACAAAAAAACCAAATTATTTCTTGAATATATTCATTTCATATCTTATTCTACTTTCCATTACTTTCTGAAAGCTTGTGTGATTCACAATGTTAGTTCCTCTATGATTAGAATACTTTTGGATATCACCCTTATTTTTACAAATTGGTATTAAGAAGCTCTTCCTCCATTCATCAAATATCTTTCCAAATCTCAAATTTGTTTGGAATAAACTACTCAACCAATCTGCTCCGCACTCTTACCTATTTTCATTTTTCTTCTAAGCTTCATTCATCTCCCATGCTTTATTTTTACGAACAAATCTATGATTATTATATTTATTTAAGGAATATTTTTAAATAAATTATAAAAATAAAAATTTTCAGCTTTCCTTAAATTTATTATTATTAATAATTATCTTTTGATCTTCATCTTAGTGCATTAAATATTACCTAAATATTTACACTTTCTTTTTCTATCTCTAGCAATTCAACATATATCTTTTTTGCCATCGTTACTACTTAACTTGTTACAAAATTTATTATATGCCTTATATTATACCATACCTTCTAGCCTCTTCTTTAGATTCTATATATCTTTTAAAATGCTCTTTATTTTTTAATTTTGTTAATCTTTCAAGCATGATCTTTTACTAATAATTGCCTTTTGAACTTCCTCACAAGTCACAACACCAAAAACTCTCTCTTAAAGCTACATCTCTACTTTTAAATTCCCCAAGAATAAAGAGCTCCTAATCTTATTATGTTGGGATGAGCAGACAGAGAGAATAAATGTAAATTTAGGATAATTTTTGAGGCACTTCATTAGTGCTAACTCACGAGAATGGTTGAAGTTTTTAGATGTCGACAAATTCTCATACTTCTTGTATCAGATTTCTATGACTATTTGAGTCTTGGCCTGATAAATTATAAGTGGCATGTTATTTATTTTTTTCCTAATGTAAAACTAAATTTAACTTATTTAAATCATGTGACAAATAATTGTTGTATATAAACTATAAAGAAATCTGCAGGAAGAAATTGCTAAGTCATCTTATATTTCATGATGAGTTTCTTCTTTGGTTCACCAGTACTTTTTACAGCTAGGTTTCCTAGACAGAATAGGAGATATATGCTAAAGATTCAAAATGAAAAACATATACATGTAACTTTTCACATTTGAAGATCTAATGCTGTCATCTGTTTTTTTTTCCTTGTAAACTCTTCTCTTTTAGTTTTTCTCTGATCTGGGCCACTCAAATGTTATATGTAAACTTGTTTGTTAACACCAATGCATTCTTCACATTGAACTTGAATTGCTTATACATGATATTGGATGTTCTTGCCTCCTAATTCTAATAAATTGATGCACTATCAATGATTTCCTCCTTGTTACAAGATTGCAATAGATTAATGGATTGTTATGTCGACCAACATGCCTCCTTACCATTTTCTTTGATTGTAGGCAAGACCTCGTACCTATTTATGAAGGACATATTACTTAAACTGGCACAATGTGTGATAACAGTGGAAGGAGACTTGTCTGTCATGAAACATGTAAGTTAAAAACAAGTATCTTCACCTTCAGCAAGCTTCATTTATTTATTACTTGGCCATTTTCATTGTTGAAGCATGCTTCTATTTTAGATTTTAGGTACATATGATTTCTGTAAAGTTCCAAGTATGCATGTATAACTATTTCATTTGAATATACTTCTTAAAAGGCCATATTGAATAATCTTCAATAGAGTTGCAACACCTTGAAAAGTGTGCATATAGTTGCTTATTTGAAAAAAGCAAGGTTAATAACCAAAATAATTCTTCAAGGGTTACGTATATTTTTTAAGATAAACATTAAGCTTCTTGAGGGTATTCATTTGATTTATAATTTTTATAATTTTGAATCATAACATTTTTTAATTGGAAAACTTTGATCATGAATGGTATTTAGCACTTATAACATAGGATATGATTATGATGTATTTAGTCTTAATAAAGCTTGTGGGATTAAATTGTAAAAAAAAGGATAAAAAATAGAATATATAATTTATTAGGGGATTGATCGGAGTTCAATACGATGAGGATTAATATATATTTTTGTAATCCTTTTATACCAAGAAGGGGGTGTATTCTAATTGTTACTTCAGCAATAAAGTTATCCTTTTAGTTTAACTTGTAAGCTACTAATCTTTCTCGAACTAGAGATATACCAGACGGGGGGTTCTTCCATTGTTATATGTGAAGGCGATGGAGATTCCTATTGGAAATATTCTCTTCGAGGTGGGAGTTCTAAATGGTTGTGAGGATATGATTGCCTAGGCTTAAGGAGGTACATCATTGGATTCAATCGCTGTGAACTCCTTGTTTGTCAACTGGAAGACTTTGTAATCTGTACTTACTATAGAACATTGCATAATGGTTTTGTGAACAATTGGTTCAATCAACAACAACATAAACACCAAGAGATGCAAGGATATTGAAGAATCACAAATATGGACCACCTCAATGCGCAAGGACATCAATGCTCAAGGATATAGTGTTGTGCTATCAAATCTTGTGACGGTCTTGCCCATTGGCGTAGTCACTTATATTGGCCTTTTGCTCCTGTATTTGCTTTTGCTTTTTCTCTTAAATCCTTGGTCAAAGACCATTAAAGTCTCTTTTAGAACCAGCAAAGCGCTTGGGGCCCTTTTGGAGTAAATGTGGCCTTGGGCCTTTTACTTGAAACATTTCAGGAGTTAGGTGGCTTGGAAGGAGTCAGAAGTGGTATCCGACTCCTTCCATGATCCCATATAAGAAGGCTGACTGCTTTCAGGATTTGTAGGAGTTGCATCCAATGGATTACTTGAATAAAGCCTCTTTGATCTGCTAATTAGACAGCCCATTTTATTCAGCTGGTGAATTGAAGCAGCTGGAGTGTGTTTGAACCGACTCTATAGCACCCAACAACTGTCAATTTTGCATAGTGTTTCCCATGGCGACTTTGTGAATAGTGTTTTAATGGAGATAGAGACTTTTTATTATAGGACAGGCTTGTCCTCTCTTAACCTTTTAGGGACAACTCCCACTATGTTGGTGCTTTATGTTCTTTTATGTTTTATCCTGCATTATTGTTCTTGTATGCAATTTGAGACGCTGCTATTTGAAGTTTGTTATAAATCTAGTTGGATAACTCAACTAGTAAATGTAAAACTTCCTATTGTTTTCAGTGAAGCTTCACAAGTTGTGTAAACTACCTGATATATTAAAAAAAATAGAATCTACCTTCCGAGGATTATACACAAATAGATTAATTACAACTTTTATGTTGGTCAAAACTGAAGCATTACCTGCTTCAGTTCTTTTTGATGGACCTCTAATTTTATGATTGTGAAAGCAGGTGCGCCACTGTTCTTTCAACCTCATACTGTAACCTTCTGGGAGTGTACCAATTTTGGCACAACAATTATTAGGTCATTGAACAGCATGGGCTAAAATGCCCCTGGATAAGAACAGGGAACACTTTGAATATTTAGTTATTTGCCATCTTCTTCCCTCTTTAAATCATTATATATGATTTTCTCAATTATCTGTCCCTACGTTTCCTTTTTCTGCCTGTTTCTCACATTTGGTGCCATTGATGGTAAGAAATAGGAAGTGCTCAGGACTTGTATATACCTTTGTTTAGTTCTTGTTAATTTGAGGTTTGGGGAAGTGAAGGGAAATGCACAATTCTTGCATCTAATTTTGTACAGCAATACTTCAATTAAGCTTATCTGTGAGTAATTGAATAGCTTATTAGCTTTTAATCCACAAATTAATCTGACTTCTCTGTCTTGAGTGCAGCTTCAGAAATGTATTGGATCTGCTGTAATCGCTATGGGACTAGAGAATGTGCTTTCGTTGGTTCCTATATCTTTCAATAGAGACAAAAAAACTTGCTCAAATGCTTGGTTGATACCCATATTAAAGAGAGATGCTTCTGGGGCATCCTTATGTTACTTCATGGACCATATTGTGCCCCTTGCTAAATCTATTCTGAAAGTCTGTGACAAAGGTATCAGTTATATCCTTTAGTGAAACCCAAAATTTTACATCTGGAAAGAATGATGTCTTGGATTTTTCATTTCATCTTTTAGTGAAAAGAGCGACATTGCAAGAAAAACTCAGATCTTATGCCCATGAATTGTGGGATTTGCTTCCTGCTTTTTGTCGTTGTCCTCCTGATACTTCTCAAAGTTTTGATTCTCTTGCCAAGCTGCTGGTACATACTCTCAAGGATGATTCTTCCTTGCATGAAACCATATCCATAAGCTTGCAGGTATTAGTAATTTAAAATTTTAAATATACTATAAATTTTTGGCTAGGTTTGTTTTTGTTAGCTGATTACTGCCTTTGTAGTGCCACTACTAAGGCTAGATTGTGCATGTCCTGCATTAAGAATATTGTGTTGTATCAGATACTTGTGAGTGAAAACATGAGAGTTCTTGGGGCAAACCAAGAAGTAAACCAGCATGCCTCGTTAAAAGATGTTCATGATAAGGCCGAAAGCTTTCCTATTGGGTACACGAAGAAAACTGCATCAAAGAACCTAAAGGTCTTAGCTTCCAATTCTATGGATTTGATTGAGACTATGGCAGATGTCTTCCTTGATTCTCCTCCTGAAAAGCATGCTGTCCTGAAGGTATTAAATCCATCTTCTACTTACCATCCTTGTGCTTTTGAAATGTTACCCCGACAATGCAATGTTAATATTTGGTAGGATCAGTTGATTCTTCTAGTTCCAATTTTCGTAATAATTTTTGCATCATCTTAAGTCTGTTGTTTCGATTTTTAATCATTATTAATACTTGTATAGATCATTATGTTCTACAAGAAGAAGTCATTCAATAAGAAATTATTATTATCTGGTCTCAACATGGGGCTTATTTTGCTGGGAGTCACTAATAGTTTATGAAAATTGTTTAACCAGTGCCAAAACTATTTAACACCGGGTTACAATATGGACAAGATATGGTGCAACATTCTTCGTTGATCTTTTCCCCCATAACTTGTTTAGCAATCTTTGAACTTTTGGAGGGCGAATATTGCTTTGGACTAACTGCAAGGATTAAGAGTTGTCTGTTTCATGCTTGCCCTTGTGATCAAAACCTTCCAATGCTGAATTAAAAAGTATATAGTCTTTGTGTTGTCTATTTTATATATTTCAGCTTCGTTGCATGCTAGCCCATGGTTGAAAACACATCAATTTTCAGGGTTTTGACATATAAATCATGATTTTTCGGTTGATAAAAGTAGAACCCACTCTGAAGTGGACCTAGGTCAAACTGCATTAGTTTGGTATAAAGATTATGTTCATAAGGGATTTTGGATTTACTGTTTCTAGAGATATGATTGTCAAGTTTGACTTCCATGTCTTGGAAAATACTTGTACTTTGAATTACTTTTCTGTGTCCATTCTGGACGCATGTATGCTATCCGGTTGAAGATGAATAAAATCAGGATTAACAATCTTTGATTCGGCTGGCTATCAGATCATCAAATTGGATACCGACTGAAATCGGTTGGCTCAAAAATACAATCCATTTTTGTTTGGCCAAGCTTGGAGTTCTGGTTTGGAACTTTATCTGGTTCAATGGTTTGTCTGGTTGGATTACAATGTGTTGGGAAATGGAGCAAAGGAGTTTGAGGGCTATTGTTCAAGATGAGCAAATACTGAAGTTGAAGAGTGGAGAGATTCTTGTTCTTTGTTTCTTTGGATACTATGGGCCAACAATGAAGATATAAAAGAGAAGACGGGGAGGAGAGGGACAGAGGATGAGAGATTGGTGATTGAAAGAGACGGAGGAATGGTTAGGGTGAGAAGTGAGAAGTGTTGGAAATGAAAAGAGAGGATTGTCTTCGTTAAGACTTAAGAAAATGCCATAGTTGGTTTTAGAATGATAACTATTATGATCTTTTTTGTAAAAAAATATATTTTGTACTTAGGCTTTTAATATTGGTCTGCATTGGCTACTGGTATGCCATCAGATCAGTGGTGGTGCAGTTGACTAGTTAGACTTGTACCATTTGGTATTAGTGGAGAAAACAATAAAATGGAAAAGAAAATTCTAATGAAAAATGAATATAGGACCTGATCATTGGCAAAGGTTTTCTTCCTCTTCTCTAAAATTTGAAGATTGGGCTGGATGTGAAACCAACACAGTGCTAATTGGAGAAAACTCTTCTCTTCCTGCTATTCTTTTTTGTTTCCTCTGTTTCTTTTGCTTTCTCTACATTGCATTGGGCTGTTTGAACTTGAGTTGTGTTCTCAATGGGCCATAGAGGGCAAAGGCTATAAAAGAGTGATCAAGTTTGAGTCCTCAAATGTCATGGCAGCTCGGCCCAACACTTAAAACATTAAAAAGGGCTGTGTTTGGGCAAAATTTTTTCCCATCATCCCATTTCAAGGGCTCATGGAAATACATCGCTCCGAATTATGTATTGACCATCAACTTGGTACAAACCAATTCTTTTGATGGCTCTATTAAACCAGTATGATTTAACTAACTAAAAACATTGGTTTGCACAACATACAGAATGGTAGGATTACATGTAACTAAAGAATATTTTAAAGCTATGTTTCTGTAAGGATAATTGTGGAGGTGCAATATATGAAGAGGTGGATGTTAGATTATTAAAGAAAGTTTGGAAATAAAAAGGACAAGATATGGTTTTAGTTGGATCTTTTCGGGTTAGGTCAATGTTGATTGAAGGATAATAATTCTTGTCAGATTGGTCTATCCTGATTGGTATTTATTAGTTTGATCAATATTTATTAGTTCGACCATAAACCAGTTCACGTACAGGGAATATTGCTGTGTCCTGGTTCATTTTTATGCATACAGCCTAATATGGTTATTGTACCGGGTGCACCTCAGTTTTGACCAATATAACTAGGTGTAGCAAGCTGCATGCGTACCACTTGGTATCTGGATTCTGCATGCCTCTTCTACCCATTTAAGCATATAACCATCCCCCCTTTACCTTCTTTCCTCCATTTGAGATTCCTAGTCCCCTCTCAATTTACTCATATTGTCAAAAAAAATTTTGATTTAAAGCAAATCAAACTGCAAATACAGGAAAACTAGTCCTCTTTTGCCCAAAGCAAGCTAACTTCTAAGCCAACTTGAAGTAGTTTTGCATAATTTTCTTTTAGATGCCTCAAAATGAAGCCTTATTTTCATGCTTTCCTATGGTTTTATTCATGATTTTATGCTTGGACTTCGTTTAGAAAAAAAATTTCTTGTACTATTGAGATTGGATCTATACAAACTAGCCAGATTCTTTGAGCGTAGGCTGGATTTGCATGGTTCCAACATAGGTCCATGCAGATCCGACTGGGATCCATTGTGATCCGATCAATTTCTCTATTTATCTAGTTAGAGCCATGAAGATCTAGGCTCAATCTGCGTATAGGCACTCGACATTCGCTGGACCTGGCCAATATCCATGTGGATCTAGGTTACATTCTTGCCAATCTTGACTAGATCTGTGTATCTGTGATCAATATGTTTGTCGATCTAAGCTACATTCATGCAGATCTAACCAAGATCCTTCTGTATCTAGGTTACATCTGCATAGACATGAGTCAATTTCCATTATTTAAGTGTAAGTTTTGATTATGTACCTAAGCCTATTTCTTAATATTTATAAGGAAATGCTAGAAATAGCATAGTGTCGATCTATTGTGACATCTGTCATCTGGAGCACAGACGTCTATAGTGGTGCATCCTCTATAACTACGTTGGTACAGTGGAGAGGGAAAAAAGATGACATTAGTATCTAGGTCTCAATTATTCTGTTTACCTTTGCCTTCCCCTCATAAGTGGCTTTGGTAGACCTAGCTCTTGGACTTTATCCTATATGGCATTAGTAAAATCCTGCTCCTCTGTCCGTTATCCACTTGTTTGTGTCACAGGAGCATAAGACTCTTGTCCCCTATCATTGCTACTACTAATGTCACTAGAAATTTTTGGGACCTCGTGGAGACATAATCAAAGAGGGAAGTCTTATCATCCCTCTCTAACTGTTGCTCATCAGTGTCCTTTATTTAGTTAGCTAGTTGCAATGAGTTGATCTTAGCTTTGTTATGCTATGTGGATGGCTTACACTGGTTTGTTGTTCGACCAACAAAGAACTGACTAGATGTACTCCGAGGCCTCCGACCATGTCCTAACATCTATCTCTTGAATCTAACATCTTGGTCCTCATATCAAGCTACCTTGTCTTGTTGGTCCTCAATCTATTCAAAAGTGAACTTTGATGGACATGGTGGATATCTGGCCCCTTCGAGCGCAAAATCATCCTTGTTTTCAGCTGTGTAATTAGTCCATCATAGGATCTTAATCATGATTAAAAAACAGCCTATCCCCTTTCTTTGTCCTCAGCAATATAATGTAGTGGCGTACACATGTTGTAGTGCATGTGTACAAGCCTCTCCAAGTGTTTATACAGATAATTGCTGGAGTGCAGACTTATGTGTGAATTAATTAGTTTTGCTCATAGCTACTGAATATTGTGGTTAGTGAGAGGAGTTTCAAAACAATTCTTCTACAATGAAGTCTAGATTTTCCATATTGTAGGCACCACTTAATTGCAGCATAATTATTGAAAAAATATTTTTGTATATATTTAATCCAGTAATCCTCAATGAGTACAATGTAAAGGGATTTTATATGTTAAATTATTGATTTCCGATAATTATATGTCATTTCCTCGATCTCATCATCAAAATTCCTCCTTGCAATCTCTTATAGATTAGGAGATGATATCCAATGATCATGCTTCTGGATGGTTGGCACTTTATATCTATCACGAGTGTCTCGAGTTGTGTAAGTATGCAGTTGAAAATTTAACCACATCGGGAATGCTTGACTAATATCTTGTTTATATGCATGGTTGATCTTGATCTACTTGACACTGAGAAAATGTTGTAGGTTCAAGATCACTGGCATTTGATGCCCCTCTCATATTAAATGAGTTGAAGAAACCTTTAATGCTTGTGGTTGGTGTTGGGATTGACTGTCACCCAAGGATTTTAATTTCGAATAATACCGCCTGTACCGGGCGGTACGTACCGGTCCGCTAACAGACCGATACACGGATCGCCCACTACCGGGCGATACCGTCGATTGGGGCTGTTTCCGCCTTGTTACCGTCCTAAATCGGTCGTCATCGCCAGATACCGGATGGTATTAACTAAGGGAGAAGAAAGAAGAGGGAGAAGAAGAGAACTTGGAGATCGGAGCCACTCTCCCTCCTTGTCTGTCGACGACTTCTCCTCATCCGCCCTGGGAGAAGAATCCTCGGTGTTGCGGGGAGAAGAGAGGTGACGTCGTAGAAAACGGTTATATATATATATATATATATATATATATATATATAT